AAAAAAATTGAATTGGTGAAAAGAATAATGTAGATATGCAATACTTTATTTAACAAGGTATTTGAAAGAACACAGGAATTAAGACTCAAAAAATGTATAGTTTATTTAAAAATATTAGCTTGAAGACAGAAGGGAGAAAAGTAAATATGGTAACTCTCAACTTTAGAAAGGTACACTAAACGGAAACAAATGTTTTCATCCTATAAAGGAAAAAGCAAACTTTACCAATATCTTGTAACTCTATGTATATAACCACAATCCTGAACACTTTTCCTGCTTTTATTTATATTCCCGTTTAATGCATAAATATAAATTTTATATAGGTTAATTATTTATATAAACAAAATGTGATAGAAAAAATAAATAAGAATGACTCTGGTCTGTAGTTATAAAGGGAAAGCTATCCTGAAAGGATTAATATTATTATAAACATATAATTATGGTTATGTAATATACATGATATTTGAAATGAAGAGAAGTGACAACCAAAGAAAGCAAAGCGGTTACATACAGATCTCCCTTACATATTCTGATTTTCAGACCTTTTAAAAATGTTATCAAAGATCTATGTGCGTGTATGTGTGCATATGATGTATATGAGAATATATGGTGGTCTTGGAACATTAAAAATTCCTGTCCAATTGAAATAATGGAATCAGAATACCATGTTTGAAGTTGTATTCAAGGAATTGCTAACAGAACATCATTTAAGAGAGTAGAATGATGGTCAGCAGAGGCTGGGAACGGTAGTGGAGGTGGGGAAAGTGTAGATAGTAAGTTGGCACAAAAATCTAGTTAGAACAAATAAAACCTAGTATTTGATAGCACAAAGGGTGACTAGAGTCAACAATAATTTACTGTACATTTTCAACTAATGAAAGGAGTATAATTGGATTGTTTGTAACACAGAAGATACACGCTTGAGAAAACAGATACTCCATTTACCCTGATGGGATTATTACACATCATATGACTTTATCAAAATATCTTATGTACCCTATAAATATATACCCCTACTATGTACCCTCACCAATTAAAAAAAAATAAAATTTAAAAGATATTTGAAAATAATAAAACTATACAGTGATTTAATGAGATGATTTGCTTATCACTGAAAGGAGGGTTTAAGCAGATGCCAAGCGACCAAATGGAGAAAATACTGTAAAATGACCTCTTGTAATATATAGATAGTTGTTCTAAAATTTCCCAATTCCTTTTCAATCCAAAATGATGATGATATTCAATTCTTTTCTTGGGATTTTCTTTCAGCCAACTGTCATCCCACTGATCATGCAAGATTTCTTTTCCCAGTTTGTTCAATTAATCAATTGCTTCAATTATTACCCAGGTCTAGGTATTCTTGACTGCTCTCTAAGTCACAGCATTCATGAATTTGCTCTCCCCATTTGCTTAATAAATATTACTTATATTTTCATTCTTTTTTGTTGTTGTTGGCTAGTTGGCATACCTAACAGAATTATAACAGCTAGAGGCCTCCAACCCTTAGTTGGTACTTTTGTTCTTAAAATCAGTACTTTATTACTGTAACGATCTTCAATTCTCAAATATAGAACTAATTTACTTAGAATAAGTGTTGAGCCTAGAAAATAATACTGCCTCAGTAGAATGCCTGGATTTGATAGACCTGCTAGGCTAGTCTATTAGCTAAACCACAAAGATGTTATAGTAATCAACCAAATAGCAACTGATAACATGGAAATAGATTGTACCGACCTCAACAAATTGAAGTTTTAAAATTTCCCTCTTCACCATATATATATATATATGAATTTCCCTCTTCAACTAACTTCAAAATTTCAAAAATTTCCCTCTTCAACATATATATATGAAATAGTATATATATAGACACACACAAAATATATATATATATATAAAAATACATATATATATACACACACACCTGCTCTCATAGCCAGGAGATTATTTATTTCTATCCTAAGTCTTTCATCTTTAGTATAAAGTCATTTCCCTTTTTTTTTTTTTGGTTTTCTACAACTGAGTATCTCAAAAAGCAGAATAATTTTATTTTCTACAAAATGAAAAACACAAATTATTTCCAAAAATACAAGGGCATATCAATCATACACATCATGCACAATATCAGTCATAACGATGGACTTCATCAAACAGCATAAAACATGTTGGCAGCTATCTTTGCTATGCTAAAAATATTGCTATGCTAAAAATATTTTATCAATATTTTGATAAAAATAACATGCCCAGTTTGCTCAAATAAAAGATGTTAACAGCCACAGACTTCCGTGTGTTGGATAGCAATAGTTATAATGAAAGTGAAATACATTTTGTGCAGATCAATAGTACTCCCCAAACAACTGACACATTATTTTCTACTTCTTACTATAGTATGGCAACTAGTCTTTGGTATTCTCTGTAGATATGAAAATGAACACAATGCACTAGTAAAAACATAAAATTGGTTTTATTTTACTGCTCTGATGGAAGAGGATTACAAATTATTTAACACGCTTCAAGTATATACAACATAATCTCCAGTATTCAGGATTGCTAAAGTCTGTAACTACATAAGGAATTCTGAATTACTTCTGAACAATTGCGAATGACTACATTGAGCTAGAAAGTGTGTTATCTTACAAAGAGTGTGTTACCTTACAGTGTGATACATTTCTGAAAACTTTATCTGTGCATTTTACCTCAGCTACATGCAAATAGTTTTTGTGGCTGAAGGAAGGACAGTTTTCCTTCTGATTATAAAAAGGTCAAAACATAATTTTTTAAAAGACATGCCTCAAAGGAAAATGTAAAAATAAATAAATAAATACCAACACTCCTATGGAAACAACCCCTTTTAATTATCTCCAGGACCATGTTGCATTATATTTTACATTCTGGCCAGCTGAGGTTCAAATTAAATAGCTCCATGGGTGACAGGAACCCTGGGGCCCATGAGGATCCTGAGGACACAGGTGACTGTTTCAATGATTTCCCAGGGATGGCTTATCCAGCCTTGGTGTCAGCATGGGGCAAAGTATTGGGAGTCTGATGCATGTAGCCATGTAATTACACATTTAAGTATATTTTTCTAATTAATTTAAATATGCCTGAAAAACTTGCAAGGCTTGAACCTGAAAATTCCTGGGGTTGAGTCATTGGATGGAATCAATGCTCCCTGAAGTGAGAGACCTGGTCCCATCATTCATGGGCTTTTGAAAGATGCCTTTGGATAGAGAAAATCGTATTACTGAAATTTCAAAGTTTGAAGAATATGCTTTACCTCTTTTATAATATTAATTTTTTGTTAAAATATGAGGCTGAAAATGTTTTCAGCAACTGATAGTCTGGTCGCTATTTAAAGTAGCACAAAAGAAGGTGCAGGAGCATAAACATTGCTCCTACCATATGATCAATGACCTCTGAAGGACACCCAGACAGTAGTCAGAGAAGGTAGGAGCAGAGTTGAGAACATAAACATGATGGCTAGAGTTGTTGATATTTGTGTCAAAATATTTCCAAATGAGAGGGCAAAGTGAGCCAACTTTTAGACAAAGAAGTGATTCAGATGCATTCCCAGAGAATCTCCTAAGTGAGAATGTACCTACTAGCCTTCAATTCAACCTCTAGCCACCCACAAGTGGCCTCATGCCTTGATCCCTGGCCTGAGACACATATCTGTGTCTAGGCAACAGTTACTATTTTCTGACTCTGCAAAAACATTGACTCCTACCCAACTTTTCTTTGCCTTTAGTTTCTTATTTGATGAATACTCTTCAAAATTATAATTTATTGGGAAAAAAAAATGGAACCATGGCTCATTTCCCTCCACGAGCAGACGCTGGTTTATCTTGATGTGCACAGTGACAGTGTTTCTTCTCCGGAAGGTTAGGCCACCTGCCTGCCCAGGCTCCTTATACACATAATTGTGACACCTTGCAACACGGACTGAAGCTAGTGTCATTTTCTCTTTTGAGATTCTGTTTCTGAATTAGAATCAGGTGTCAGTGAAGTCAGAAAGAGACGATTCTTGCTAAATCAATACCGAGTGGGGTTTAAAAAGCAAACAACAAACCATAAACAGCGCAGTATAGGAGTATCAGTGAAGTTAAACAGCCAGCTTCAGACTCACTCCTGAGGATGCAGACTTCTAAAGAATAATAGCAGTCTGGTCAGCAAGTGAAAGATACTTGTTTATATGTGAAGATATCTGAGGCCCCCAAGCAAAGGCAGAATGGTCTAAAAACAGAGTAGAAAAACTGAAGGCATCAGTCAAAAAATATAAAATGAGCCAAACTGGACTTTGCTGAAGCCACCGAATTTTCCCAGATAACTCATGCTCATAAATTTACTATAAACATTCAGTAAACTGCAGCAAACTTCATTAATACATTATACAATCATTTTGTAATTGGTTATTTTTATAAAAGAGTGATTTAATTTCTGGTTGATCTTCCATTTATAAGGGATGTGCTATGAAAGAATAGGGTCACCATCTGATGGCAATTATAGGCATTAGTCAATGTAGTTCAGGAGAAATTCCAGGCTTTTAGATTCAGTCATGCAGTATGTTACATAGAAAGCAGACATACAGAGATATAGAGGTATATACATTAAATGATGTAACTCAAAGGCACATGATTTATAATATTAATTTTAATGTGAAATATTACTTCTAAAAACAGAGTCATTTCTTAAATTTTAAGGCACGGTAAGTAATATTCATACTTACTGATTAAGTGTTCTTCAAACATTCTAATGAATCAATGTGCTATGCTGTCTTGTGATCTAAATTTCCCATACTTAAATGGCAGGTAGTAATAGCATATGTGTGTCAGAACTAAACCTACTGAATGTAGTCTTAAAATAAAATATTATTGTCTTTGGAATTTAAAAACACACACTTGTAAATATTGATATGAATAACCTTTGATTAAAAAATTAAAGTAACAGAGCTAGATTGTCTTTGAACCAAGAGCAATAAGATGTAAAATCATAGTGGTACTTACCACAGTGAAATTCATAACTTTCAATATCCATATTGTCATGGCTAAGTTAACTATCATGGTAACCAACAGCAGAAGGACAAAGAAGTATAAGCACCTCTTTCGCCATCCATAAATTCCCACTGGATAAAGTTGTGCATTCTCAGTCCTTGGGAGGTTATTCTGTTGGGTTGCTAGTATGTATTGTTCTCGTGTCATCTGAAAAAGAAAAAAGAAAGTAAGAGAAAGAAGGAAAGAAAAGAAGCATTAAAAAAATAAACACATGATTTTTCGAAGCAAAAGATACAATGTACCTTAAAATAATTGTCAGTGAGCATTCAAATAACTATTGTTGTGTAATTAAAATGTTACAGAAATCTTTGAATCATTTTCTTCAATATAGTTTTTTAGAGATGTTTAATTCATTGTTATATCCACAAGATATATATTATTTCCAATCAGATTTGTTCCATTTCAACAGTCAGCTTTTCTCTTGGGATGCTCAGGTCTACCTCCCGTTACCAGTAACCAAAGAGCTCTACTCATGTCCAAGTGACATACTTTGGATCTGTGTCCCCACCCAAATCTCATGTTGAATTATAATCACCAGTGTTGGAGGTGGTGCCCGGTGAAAGGTGATGAGATCATGGCAGTGAATTTTCCCCTTTGGTGCTGTTCTGGTAATACAGTTCTCATGGGACTTGGTTGCTTAAGTGGGTGGCACCTCCCCGTTTTCTCTTGGACCTGCTCCTGCCACATAAGATGTGTCTTTTTCCCCTTTGCCTTCTGCCATGATTGTAAGTTTCCTGAAGCCTCCCTAGAAGCAAAAGCTGCTGTGCTTCCTGTACAGCCTGACGAACTAGGAGCCAATTAAACCTCTTTTCTTTATAAATTACCCAGTCTCAGGTATTTTTTTTTATACCAGAGCGAGAATAGATGAATACACCAAGCTACTCTTAGACTATGCTTTACCTGTTCTTTGCGGTAGAGATTGACTGTATCACTGGGATTTTCTGTACCTTTCTCTAAAAATGCAGGATACAAATGGTTCAGTATATATGCTTCAGTAAAAATATTAGTATATTTGCAAGAACCTATGGAAAGAAAATTAAAATTTGTGTGGGTTCATGTAGACAATAGCTATCAAATTAAAAGTTTTATTTACAATTATGTTGATTATTTTAGTTGTATTTCAATGAATTATCAGAAAAAAAAATTAACTTTAAGAACACTATATATTGTACCATACTATTTCATAATGAAATTAGAAGTCAGTTCTGAAAAAGTGAAGATGATATTCTTTGATAATGCATAAATTCAGGTTCTAGAATTAATTCTTTCAATAAGCAAATAGATTTTTAATGTCTTATACAACTTAGAAATAAGGATAAGAAGACTAAAACAATATGAATAAGCATTGATTATGTCTTAAGTGTACAATTTTCAGAATAACTAATTTTTTATCAGAGGGATGGAAACTGATTTTTATAAAATATGATTTTCTATAGGACAATAATTTTTCATTATTATTTCTTTAGGTTTTTCTCAGATTGCTTTTATACTTATTAAATGACTAACCTAACAGAAATACTTCTTAATAAATTATATGCAAATAAAAATAATATTAATAAGTAATTAAATTATGTTACATAATATAAAACATGTACTGTAAAATTATCATTATAATGTTCATTGACTCAATCCTACTGTAGATAAAATGTTGAGTTTTTTTTTTTCATAGGTTTTTGGGAAACAGGTGATATTTGGTTACATGAGTAACTTCTTTAGTGGTGATGTGTGAGATTTTTTATGCATCCATCACCTGAGCAGTATATACTGAACCCAATTTGTAGCCTTTTCTCTTTCACCCACTTCTCACATTTCCCCCTGAGTGCCCAAAGCCCAATGTATCATTCTTATTCTTTTGCATCCTCACAGCTTCCTCCTACTTATGAGTGAGAACATGCAGCATTTGCTTTTCCATTCCTTAGTTACTTTTACTTCTTAGAATAATAGTCTCCAATCCTCTTCAGGTTGCTGTGAATGCCATTCATTCATTCCTTTTTATGGCTGAGTAGTATTCCACTGTACATATATGTATACCACAGCTTACTGAATGATGGGCATTTGGGCTGGTTCCATATTTTTGTAATTGTTCATTGTGCTGCTATAAACATGAAAGTGAAGTGTCTTTTGTGTATAATGACTTCTTTTTCTCTGGGTAGGTACCCAGTGGTGGGATTGCTAGGTCAAATGGTAGTTCTACTTTTAATTATTTAAGGAATCTCCCTGCTGTTTTCCATAATGGTTGTACTAGTTTACATTCCTACCAGTGGTGTAGAAGTGTTCCCTTTTCATTGCATCTACACCGATGCCTACTACTTTTTGATTTTTTGATTATGACCATTTTTGAGGTAGTAAGGTGGTATTGCATTGTGGTTTTTATTTGCATTTCCATGACCATGAATGATGTTGAGTATTTTTTCGTATGTTTGTTGGTCATTGGTATATCTTTTTTTTTTTTTTTTTGAGAATTGTCAATTTATGTCCCTAGCCCACTTTTTGATGGGATTTTTTTTTTCTTGCTACTTTGTTTGAGTTCCTTGTAGATTCTGGATAATAGTCTTTTGTTGGATGTATAGATTGTGAAGATTTTCTCCCACTCTGTGGGTTGTCTGTTTACCTTCCAGGGTGCTCCTTTTGTCATGCAAAAGCTCTTCAGTTTAAATCCTAGCTGTTCATCTTTGTTTTTATTGTATTTGCTTTTGGGCTCTTAGTCATGAAATTCTTGCTTAAGTCAATGTCTGGAAGGGTTTTTCCAATGTTATCTTCTAGAATTTTCATAATTTTGGGTCTTAGATTTAAGTCCTTGATACATCTTGAGTTGATTTTTGTATAAGGTGGGAGATGAGGATCTAGTTTCATTATCCTACACATGGCTTCCCAATTATCCCCACACCATTTGTTGAATAGGGTGTCCTTTCCCTACTTCGTGTTTTTGTATGCTTTGTTGAACACAAATAGACAATCTAAGGTCACACCTCAAGGAACTAGAGAAACAAGAAAAACCAAACCCAAACGCAGCAGAAGAAAGAAAATAACCAAGATCAGAGCAGAAGTAAATGAAATTGAAACAAACAAACAAAAATACAAAAGATAAATGAAACACAAAGCTGGTTCTTTGGAAAGATAAATTAAATTAATAGACCATTAGCAAGATTAACCAAGAAAAGAATAGCAAAGCTCCAAATAAGCACAATTAGAAATGAAATGGGAGATAATACACTCGACACCATAGAAATACAAAAGATCATTTAAGGCTTCTATGAACACTTTATGTGCATAGTCTATAAAACCTAGAGGACATGGATCAATTCCCAAAAAGGTACAACCTTCCCATTTTAATTCAGGAAGAAATAGAAACCCTGAACAGACCAATAAGAAGCAGTGAGATTGAAACTGTAATAAAAAGTTACCAACAAAAAGAGTCCAGGGTCAGTGGGATTCACAGCCGAATTCTAACAGATATTAAAGAAGAATTGGTATCAATCCTGTTGACATTATTCCAAAAGACAGAGAAAGAGGGAGCGGGTCACAGTGGCTCACACCTGTAATCTCAGTACTTTTGGAAGCCAAGGCAGGTGGATCACTTGAGGTCAGGAGTTCAAGACCAACCTGGTCAAAATGGTAAAATCTCATCTCTACCAAAAATACAAAAACTAGTTGGGTGTGGTGGTGGGCACCTAAATTCCTAGCTACTTGGGAGGCTAAGGCAGAAGAATTGCTTGAACCTGGAAGGCAGAGGTTACAGTGAGCACAGATCGTGCCACTGAACTCCAGCCTGGCTGACAGAATGAGACTCACATTGAGAGCGAGCGAGAGAGAGAGAGAGCGAGAGAGAGAGAGAGAGAGCGTGAGAGAGAGAGAGAGAGAGAATATTTTCCATAAATAATAATATGAAGCCAGTATCACCCTAATGCCAAAACCACGAAGGGACATAACAACAACAACAAAAAACTACAGACCATTATCTCTGATAAACATAGATGCTAAAATTCTTAATAAAATACTAGCTAACCAAACCCAATAGTATATTAGAAAGAAAATTCACCACAATCAAGTGGGTTTCATACCAGGAATGCAGTGATACACAAGTCAATAAAAAATGTGATACACCGCATAAACAGAATCAAAACCAAAAATCACATAATCATCCCAATAGAGGCAGAAAACACATTTGACAAGATTTACATCCATTTATGATTAAAACCCTCAACAAAATTTACATAGAAGGGACATACTTCAATGTAATAAAAGCCATCTATGAAAAACCCTCAGTCAACATAACAGTGAATGGGGAAAAGTTGAAAACATTCCCTCTGAGAACTAGAACAAGACAAGAAGGCCCACTCTCACCGCTCCTCTTCAACATAGTACTGGAAGTCTTAGCCAGAGCAATCAGACAAGAAAAAGAAATAAAGGGCATCCAAATTGGTAAAGAGAAAGTCAAATTGTCACTGTTTGCTGATGATATGATTGTACACCTAGAAAACCCTAAAGACCCCTCCAAAAAGCTCCTAGAGGTGATTAATGAATTCAGCAAAGTTTCAGTATATGAAATTAATGTACACACATCAGTAGTTCTGCTATACACCAATAGTGACCAAGCTGAGAATCAAATCAAGAACTCGACCCCTTTTACCATAGCTGCAAAAAATAAAATAAAATACTTAGAAATATACCTAACCAAGGAGGTGAAAGACCTTTACAAGAAAAGCTACAAAACACTACTGATAAAAATTACAGATGACTCAAACAAATGGAAACACATCCCATGCTCATGGATGGGTAGAATCAATATTGTGAAAATGACCATACTTACCAAAGCAATCTACAAATTCAATGTTGAGAAATTTTTATAAAAATTATTTGGTTTTTCCTCTTCATGTTTTAATTTCAAAATTACTATAACTTCAAATTGCATTAATGTACTTTAAATCTTATGTCTCCTTTTTTTACCATTGAGGCATGTTATGCTTCATACAATAAAAGTAGTTGGATAAGCTATTAAAACATCATGATTTTAAATGAATTGGAAATGCTGATAACAGTAGATGATTCACAGCAAGTTCTCTCATAATGTAAGTGATGTTATTTATTATTATTATTTAAGTTAACATTTACAATTTCCTTAAAACTGACCATAAAGCTTTATTCCT